ATTAAACTGTGAACTTATAATTCACAAGACAGTTTCGGCGTAAATTGATTTATTCACAGTTACAAACACTTTACAGGTAATATTTTGGAAAATAAAACCTATTTTTCGATACGATATATGTAACTCTACGCACTGTGTATGTCAAAGCATTACTAATAGCAACCCCTTACAACGTTTACATATACAGACAATGTCTTTAGGTTCAGGGCTGCGGGTCGACCACGTGATAGTGCTCTGGTTTCGGAGTTGGTGAGACAGGGACAAATCCATGTGATACCACAAAATATTCTCTAAAGTGCAGATGAGTTATAAGGGTGACAGTAAGTCCTTGGTCTGTAGGGTGCTGCTGAGTTGATGCTTTTCTTCTGTAAGTTACGGAGGGCGACAAAGAGATATTTTCAAACAAGTTAACATAACACGATCTACACGTTACTGTGACGACACCTAGTGGCACTAAAGATCTAATTAACAACAACGTGTAACATGAAGTATTTTTTAGCAACAACAATTTATAGATATGCTATCATCTTTTCTAACTCTGAGACAAACGTTTGTTTCTATAAGGGATAATACAAATGTTTAACTATCTAAAAATATACGTTATGAACAAGAGTAACAAAGCAGATACACTACAAACAATTAACATTTAACTGTACATTATATTTGTTTCCTTGTAGAAAACTTATAAACGCTTTTAATCGTAATATAATTTATTTATGATTTAGAAATTTCATTATAAGGCGAGGTAAAACTGTGTTTGTGAGAAAGAAAGATAGCCATTGATAAAGTCATCAGACTGTACTGTTGGTTCATTGTGACATTTTAGTTAATGTACACCGTGTCCCAGAAGTTTAGCTACACAACGGGCTATCTATTCTCTGCCCATCACGGGTATCGAAATCCGGTTTCTAGCGTTGTAAGTCTGCAGACATACCGCTGTGCCATTGGGGGAGGGGGGTGTCCCAGAAGTCTGTACCCATAGGGAAAATAGACATTATATTCTTAAAGTTAAACAAACACATATCTAATGTCAGTTGTATATGTACTAGGAAAGAAAATACACTGATGACACAGTACACCAAGAATTGACATGTGTGTGGCTGTTAATGGTGTGCAGTTTGAATAATAAATGAATTAAGAATACATTGTGTATTTTTCACTATGGATCTAGACTTCTAGGACACCCTGCATAAACAAGCTTCTCCATTTCTTCTTGTGTAGCATTGTGCTTTTACATAGTTATTTTATGGGTAAAACGTTTATTTATCACACAAGACAACTCAATATTATGTAAATTTATTTGTATATCTATTTATTATCTTTAATATTTTTTGAATAGTTTATGGTTCAGAAAATGCCACACATTTGTTATGTCGATCTAATTTTTATATTTTTCCAAAAATTACTTTTTACAGATTCTAAAACTTAATGAGGTAAATATAAGCATGATTCTCATGAATAACCGAAACACACACACACACACATATATATATACATATGTCGAAAATAAAACTTGATTGTAAAAATCACATGGCGTCCAGTCGGTCAGAAATTGAATACAGCGTGTTTGGATTGATGCTTTTATTCATTGTGTCATTTGTTCGACGTTTGTCTGCTGTAATGGAAGTTTGTTTGTTTGTAGTTAAGAAAGCTTCACAATAGGCTATTGGCGTTGTACCCACCACGGATATTGAAAAGCGGATTTTAGCGTTATAATTACGCAGAAAATGACAATATGGTACATTTTGTACTATATTTTGAATTAATTTACATTGAAATAAGATACTACATGATGAAATTATTTACATATATAATCAATTGAATGTTTTATTTATTTAATTAATTCAGGCATTAGAGTAAATAAGGACAACCAAAAAATTAATTTCGATATAATTTGGAAGTACAAAATAAATAAACGGTCGTCTGTTTTTAAAGACTGTTACGACAGCGCAGGTCACGTGACGCTTGTATCACGCCACTTCCTTCTCGAACTCTTATGAAATGTCGGGAGACTTCTAGATTGGGTTAGTCTTGTATATATAAGGCCGGCCAAGAAGCAACGTGAGGTAAGGTGTAATTGAAC